CCAAGGCTGCACAAAAGGACCATCCACATGGAGGATCCAAGCTCCCTTCCAACTCCCAAAACCAAACCCAACATGATTGTATACCTAACTCTGCTCTTTTACTTTGTGATCACTATACTCAGAGAAAGGGTGAAAACAGTCGCACACTCAGAGAGAAGAAGCTCACAGTCTACTTGTGCTTCTCTATGTGTTTGCACCCCCGTATATATAAATACTCTTGGGCATATGGCCTTGAATGCAAATTCCTGGAAATAGTTAGTTGTTTTACCAAACCCAACAAAAGGTTAATGTTGTGATATATGGAGAAAATAAAAATGAAAACAAAATAAAGGATATGTGAATTGGAAAATAATTACATGGTGTATATGGTCGACTTTACTCTTTATCTATATTTGTCGTGTGGTAAATGGTTTTAATTCTTTTTATGTGTACCATAACGTATCGGTTTTTTTTTTTTTTTTCTTATTTTGTCTGTGTGGCTTTTTTTATCGGTTTTATAAAGTAGGTTCAAATTGGGTGATCGGCATTTTTGGTAAAGATCTTTTTATGGAAGAAAATAAATACAATGTATATAGATTATGAAAAGAAATAGTGTAATGTACGTAAAATCGAATATGAATGTATCATAAATTTGAAATGACTAAATACAATGAATAACACAATACTTTTCCGTTTCAAACATAACAGACAAGCAATAAGGATAAACAATAATGCATAGGGAGATATGGTAAATCATCTACATGGTAATTACTTAAGATTGAATATATTGTGAGGGTTCAATGTTTCTTTTGTGCAAAGGACCCTCCTGAGTTCGAGTCCTAGCATCCGTGTAATGTGTGTGAGTTTAGTGTACTATTGACCCTCTCAATAGGAAAGGTCCTTAAAAGAATGTTTGTAACACATGCACTAATAGTAAGTTGTATGGAAGTGTAAAATTGGTGATTAAAAAAAAAAGTGTAAAATTGGTGAGTATTACACAATTTATTATTGTTTTTATATCATTTATATTTCGTTAATGTTTGTAACCATGGTCATTATCTAATTTGCATCTATCACATTTTCTTTGATTTGGTATTCTAATAAAGTAATGTGTTTTCTTTTAACGTAGGAGTTATGGTGGTATGATAGCCTATTCTAGTTCTTGCACTAGAAGAGCATCATTCAAGATAAATAAATGATATCAATTCAAGTTTCAATATAAAAAAAATTTAAATCCTAAATCCAAATCCTAAAAACTAGACTTTTACCTGTTCCAATGTTATCTTAAAGAAACTCGAAGTTATCTACATTGTTTTTTTATATATTAAATGAATATACAAGAAATATATAATATATTAAATGAAAATTCTTTTCTTTTAAAAAAAAGAATATATGTGCTTTTCCTCCATGTTTTGTCTTTGTGCTGTGTAATATCAGAAACCTCCACATTTGCATGGAGACTGAGACCCACATGGACGTGGACTCCTCTTCTCTGCTTTTCTTTTTTGTTGTTCTTAGTACGTAATGTATAAATGCATAAATTCTGAAAAAAAACACACATATATATATATATATATATATACTAACCCCTTAAACTTTGAAAGTTAATAACTTCCTCGTTTTAACTCCGATTTTCAAACCTTTTGCACCTACGCTCTCATGAACTCAAGCTCTATTTTTGTATCAAATAATTATAATTTTCCAACTTCAATTTCTCAAAGATCCTTAATAAAAACCTCACTAAATCACTTAAGGGCATTTTCGTGCAAATTACATTTAAACACTAATAACCCCAATATTTTCCATTCGAAAATTCCATAAAACTCTCTCAAAATTAAACACTATTTTCTGAGCACCTCAAAATAATCAGGGTCTCACAATGAGGAATGTGAAAGTGCCTTATATGAGCAGATTTCATCTTCCCCTAACAAGATATGTTTTGGGCTTGAGGGCCCAAGAACAAATATGTACGGGCGAGGATGAAAAATCATGTAACTTGGAGTCATTATCACTAAGTCTTGAATTTGCAAGGGTTTTGATTCTGAAGCCATAGCTAGGTCTAAGACTCTCCTCTCCGACACACTTTTTGTGATAAAAGAAGTAGGTTTGGTGAATGATGGGTTATTTAAAGGTATCAAAAGGAACAATGCAAAGGTCGGTTGGTGAATGATGGGTTATTTAAAGGTGACAAAAGGAACAACGTGGGACACATTTATTTATAGAATCTGCACTTGAACACAAAAGGTTGCTCCGATAATATAAGAGAATGATATGTGTCAACATAGTCCACACGTGGACATGCAACAGGGCTTATTAGGTCAAAAACATAACATTTTTACGAGAGCATTTTTACTCACTACTTTAACCGAATTTGTACCCTTATCATTCTTGACAAAATTTGACACATATCCATGTGTATAAACATAGTTATCTTTTTTCCTATTATTTTTTTGATGATATTATTATAACACAGAAATACCCAAACCCTTTTAATAAAATTAAAAACATTTTTAAAAAAATCCAACAGCCACTTGACCCATCCAACCTCGTCAGCCACCCCAACCCACCCTCGGCAACCTTCTCACCTCCTTACCCACCTTCTTTCTACAACCAACGAAATAATTAGTTTTTTTTTTAATTTTATTAAAAAGGTTTAGGTATATCTCTCTCATAATATCATCAGAAAAATAATAAGCAAAAGTTAATTATGGTTATACCCATGAACATGTGTCAATTTTTGAAAATGGTGGTGATGAGACACATTAGATTAAATTGGTGAACAAAAATGCTCCTTATCCAGATGCTTTACTTTGATTTTCTTTGCTAGGATATGCTTCACTTTGGTTCACATGCTACCCTATTAAAATTTTATCTAAGGGATTTCAACTTAACATATCATATCATCCCCCCTTCTCTTTTCTTTATAAAAAAAAAACTTCTCTCTCCTATGTCAATTGAGATGATGAGGGTGGTTCTAGGAAAGGGATTCCTTTGTCGTCCATGTCAATTTCTTGCTTGCTCCTCGCGTCCTTTGGTACAATACCAAGGAATCAGGAAAAATACAAAACTAGCAACATTCGTGCATATATGCTTAGCGTAGAGGTTTTTTTTGCTCTAAGTTCTGTTGGGGGGAGAGTTGTGGAGAAAGGAAGAATAAAAAAGAATAAAATGCTACAAAAAAATTAAGTGTCAATTAGTTCAATTAGGGTTTTTTTTTTCTTTTTTAATTATGATAGAATTAGGTTTTTATTTAAGGATGATGTGTCAAGTTGAAATCAAAGCAAAGGATCTAGATCCATATCAATGAAGTAATAGGGACATTTTTAGTTGTCATAGTCCCTAAATGTAGACTCGATTTGCATTTTGGTGCTCAAATTCGCAAAATGGTTGTTATACTCCCTCAACTCCACTTTCATTAGCAGTGTTGATCGTGCCGTCAGATTGTTAAATTTTATGCTAAATTTAAGGGTAAAATTGTCACTTCAAATCTAACCCCCATCACTCGCACAAGCCACCACTCCCACCACCACTTTGTACCCAAACCCACCATTTCCAACACCACAAGAACAAACAACAAAACATAGTTGCCTTCTTTAATTCTTTTTTTATTTACATCCATCAAACATCTAAGTTCACCACACTATTTTGTTCAAATAGTGGGGTGAATTTGCCTTCTTTAATTCTTTTTTAGTTCATCCATCAAATTCGTCCACCCACATCCCATGGCTTCTCTCTCTCTCTCTCTCTCTCTCTCTCTCTCTCTCTCTCTCCATCCACCCATCCGATCTCCTCAATCTTGACCAAATCAACTGAAAAAGAAGGAGAAAGCAAGAGGATAAAGGTAAAAATACGATTTCTTTTTCCATTAAAAAAACGTAAAAAATAGTGTTTTGCCACTTAATTTGACAGAAAAAGTAAGCAACACTGCTAACGGAAGTGGAGTTCTGCAGCTAGAAAAACCATTTTTGCAAATTTGAAGATCAAATGCAAATCAAGTCTAAATTGAGGGACTATAACAACTAAAAGCCTAGGGACTATTATTAGAAGAGTGAAAAACTCTAGCCGCTCTCTCATTCAGTGAGTCTCAAAGAAAAACTCCACATATGGAGATGAGGAAGAAGCTTTAGTGCCTCTGCATTAACTTTTTCTTTTTGGTTAGTGAATAAGTCTACTTGGGCATTTTGAATAACAAGCCCCTTGTGATGATTTCTTCTGAGCCATGCTCAGATTGCCTCTCAAAATCCGCTCTCACACACTGATCATGTTGTCTAAATTTGGTCTACATCGTTATTGACGGAGGTTGCTGCAAATCACTCAATTGTTCTTTGTCAAGTAGTTGTTTTTGTTTATTTGTTCACTTTTATACGCAGTTAGATCTTTGAAAACCATGTTTTCCCCAAATATTTTATGGATGCGGTGATGTGGCTGCGACGTCGCTTCTTTGGGGGATGTTGGTAGGGCTTTTTTAGGCTTATGGGTTGGCTTAGGGAAAAGGTGGTACACAAAGTGATGTATAAAATGTAGTCTCCGTAGCATTTTCCATTAGATTATCAAGAACATTCTCTGAAACCATTTTTAATTAAGAAAGCTAGTTCCAAAATTTTCCATAACATTCCATGGAGAATTATCATTATTATCAACAACACATTTAAACGAACTTCCAATTAGGAAATAAATTAAGTTCGGACAAGAGAAAAAAGAAACTAAGTTATTGAGTGGCAAACCGGATTTCCATCGACGTCGTTTTGGTGGTGGTCAGAGGAAGAAAAGGTTGTTGCGGTTGGTTGTGTGACTGATCTAATGGATAATCTACCACAAGGAATGAATAATATTTTCTCCAATGATTCAATTATCAAAGGCAGTTGAACTACTTCCACATAAATTCCCACCAAAACATTGCCTTGAAAAACAAAGCAAAGACTAAAGTTTCATTAATTAATTACTCTTAATTTCTTACTTTTTAAACATTCTAGATGGGTTTTTCTTCTACCTATAAACTATTTCCGAAGTGCATAGATTTACATTAATTTACTTGTTTTTGAAATCCCTCTTTTGCTGCACATCAAAGCTTTGCTGCTAAAATGGCAGCAAAAGATGGAGCTAAGGAGAAAGACAAAGACAAAGAAAAAGATGAAAAGAAAGAAAAGGAGAAAGATGGTGGAGTAATCAATGCTGTTTACAAAGTCAACCTGCACTGCCGGCAGTGTGGACGTGAGATCAAGAAGCCACTTATGGCTACCCCAGGTATCCAAATGTTCCTTTTCTGTTCATTCCACATCATGGTTTTCTCTACATATATAAGCCAATTTTAAAAAATTAAAAAAATAAAACTTTATTTCTTATGAAGAAATGAGAAGAGGTAGAGCATGTACTTGCCGAGACAACATAAGATGTTTATCTTATCAGACCATGAATCTAGATCATTAATCATATTGATTTTTTCCTGAATATGTTGAATACAGTCGGCAACATAAACATTTGTCTAGTATATAGTCCTTAATTATGTGGGTTTTCCTTCGTATTGTATATATCGTTCATATATTTGAGGCAACTGATGATGGTGCGTTATGTAAACAGGGATTCACAATGTGGAGGTAGATATGGAGAAAGGAGAGATAAAGGCAAAAGGTGTTTTCGACCCAGTACAAATTCAGAAACGGCTAGAGAAGCTTTGCAAGAAAAAGATTGAGTTGGTATCACCCAAAATTCAGATCAAGGAAACCCCCGTTGTAGAGAAAAAAATAGTGAAGGAAACAAAAGAAGTACGGTGCTCACTCTCACCCATATGCTTAAACAATTTATTGCTCAATATATTATTTGATTTTATCTTAAACAATTTACCACTACTTAACAATCGAATCGAGGTTGAATTATTTGATTTTATCTTCAATTGTATTTCATTGATAGAAACTGTGTTTACTGAACAGTCATGGCCGCCCTTTTGTTTTTTTTAAGTAAATTGAGTTTATACCTATAAAATTCATTTTTAATCACCTACAATCCTTTTCTTTATTTTTCTATTTAAAATACCCAATTTTTTCAAATAAAACCCGATGACTAGGATCCAAGTAAGCAAGATACCTAATCTAGCTTAAAATCTAATTTATTATATTTTTAAGATTCCAAAACTACCCCTATTTACAAGTTAATGTGTTATGTGGGGGTGTAAACTAATGACACATTGAATTTGGAAAGATCTTCAAATGGTTGTAATGGATGTAGGAATTAATTTAGAAACTTATTTGAAACAAAATATTAAATTCAACATTAACGTATTAGTAATCTACATGTGATTAATGTTTTGGTTTATTTAATAAATTTTTGTTGTTGTTTTCCTTTTATGAATTATACTACTAGTAATCTATTTTATTATAGTTTTATGAATAATAGTGTACATTCTAATTATGTTGAAAAATATTTTGATAATCTATTTATTGTTTGTTTTAAGAAAAATATATTTTTTTAAATGAACCTTTTTTTTCTCTAAATAATGTACCCTTTTCTCTTTGAATAAAGTACCTATTATTTGTTTTATGAAAAATAATTTTTTTTAAATGAACCTAGTTTCTCTCTCCAAATAATGTACGTATTTTTTTCTCTAATAATGTACCTAGTAAAACAATGTACGTATTTTTTTAAATGAACCTATTTTCCTCTACAAATAATACCTATACACATTTATAAGTATATTGTAAAACAATTTACCTATGGGTAAATAATGTACCTATATTACTAGTGATCTTCTCTAGTGCTTGGTTTCCTATGGACAATATTTTTTTAAAGTTTGCTTTTTAGTTATACATTACTGGTGATCTTCTTTAGTGCTTGGTTTCCTAATCAAATTCTTAGGTTTGCTTAGCAACTCCCAATAAATAGATGTTGCCCGTTTATCCAACATTGGAATTTAGAAGCCTTCCATAGTAGGTTTAAAGATCTTGGGTTGCTTTGCTCAAGTAGCGCAAGAGGGGGCGTTGTTGAGAGTTTATGTGAGAAGCCTTGCGTAGAAAAGATCTTAGGCCTCTCTCCACTTGGATGATGAGTTGCTTGAATTGAGAGTTTAGAAAGGAAATGTACCATATGGTGATAGAATTCAAAGGGAGTCAAGTGTTTAAACTTATTCATCAATTTGTTCATAAGGGTCGGTCGTCGTGTTCGTTATGCACCTTGGAGGTCCTGGTTAGGTTCACAATATTTACCTTTTTTTAGTATTAATTAAACTTTAACTAGCTCAGATATATACATGTAAATGAAAGTGATGAAATGCATGCACTAGCTAGATAGTTAACCAATTTTGTTTTGTTTGATTCCAAAGCCTATTTCAAGGACAATATTGGTGAAGGTAAACATGCATTGCAACAAATGTGAGCAAGATCTGAAGAAGAAGTTAATAAAGAGAAAAGGTAATTAAACATATTTCAAAGTTTTCTTGAAGATTCGTACGTATATCTACATTTAGGGTATTTCTAACGAAGCATATATGTCAATGATGTATATTCTAGGTATTCACAATGTTAAAACTGACATGAAAGCACAAACTCTGACAGTGGAAGGAACAATCGAGCCGGAAAAATTAGTATCGTATTTACGAAAAAAGGTGCACAAACATGCAGAAATTGTGCCCCCAAAACCAGAGAAAAAGGAAGAAACAAAAGAGAAGGAGAAGGGTGCCTCAAAACCAGCAGAGAAAAAGGAAGAAACAAAAGAGGAGAAGGGCGCCTCAAAACCAGCAGAGAAACAGGAGGAAAAGAAAGAGAAAGAGAAAGAGAAAGAGAAAGAGAAAGACAGTGGTGAGAAATCTTCTGAGCCAATCACCAGGGTCGTAGAAGCTAAGGGAGATATGAAGGTGGTGGAGGTTAAACCAAAAGAGAGCAACGCTCCATATTTCATTCACTATGTCTATGCTCCACAAACGTTTAGTGATGAAAATCCAAATGCTTGTTATATAATGTAAATAGGTGAGGGGTAGAATATATATATGCACTTTGGATTTATTTGGAACTGCGTTTTTATGTATATAGTAGTATGGTTGAATTCAAGAAACAGAAGTGTACCCATAGATTGGAAAATGCCTTCTTACCAGACTATATATGGCAATATATGATGGAATTTTCAGACTAAATAAGGACCATAGATATGTTCAGAGTATTTGTCCCGCATCAGAAAGTTAAGGGATTTTCCACAAGCTATCTCCACATTGTCAATTGATTTCTGGGTGGAACCTCAACTGATTATTTCACGATGATAGTTTGGGCAAATATTACTTTCCTTCTTTTTTCAAATCGCTTGTCTAAATTATAGGATTGGTAAAGTATGCATGGCTGATCATTAGAATATTGTTGATTACTGGGATGGACAACATAGCTCGATATATACATAGCATGTAATGCATGCACAACATCAAACATGTATTAAGAAATGAAAATCAACAAAGAAAAAGGTTTTGATAAAATAAAATAAAAAGACAGAAAAGAAAAAGGCAACAATGGCTTGAAAATCAAGAAACCGATATGTGCTGGCCACAGTATTCGCTTCAGATTTAGGAATTTTGGAAGTAAAGTTTGAATTATTTTATTGTTGTACAGAAAATGAGTCCTGAATTCAGTCACAGAGTTAACTGATCCACTCAAAGGCACAAGATGAAAACTTAAAACAAAAACTCTTGCATCAAACAAGGCAGTCGAATTAACCTTATGTCTTGATGAGCAAAGTAAGACTATCTTTTCCTTTATCTTCTTGGTCTCTGCTACTGCGAAATAAAATTTTCGTTTTCGGAATGAACAAAACAAATCGAAACCTATGTATTGCACAAAACAAATAGAAAAACAACGACAATCATAATGGGGGTTCCCCCGAGTAATAATTTTGTTTTCTGAAAGAAAAGTCCTCCAAGAATATGTACCATAAAGAAAAATTCTTGAATGGAAGAAGCTCTGAGATATATATAGAGTATTTTAGGAGAAAGAGAAAAGTGTGAACAACAAAAGAACCCTTATTATAATATATAATATGGTTTTAAGAATAACTGGAGCAACTGGGGTTGATGATGTCTAAGAGAGCAGTGTGCAATATACTAGGATGATTTAATTTAAAATATATATATATTTGATTGTGTGGGTGAAGTGGCCAGATGTGAGAGCCTTTTTTTATTAGGGAAGAATGAGTGGAAAAGCAAGTGTCGAACTTTTATTATGAACATGGGGTGGGTGATATACCACTGAAACTATGACAGCTTTTGCTTTCTTATATTCATATTTGGTTGTTTTCTTTATTTGTATTGGTATAAGATTTGGAGAGATTGTATATTTCATGTGCTAAGATATATGCAGTATTTTGACCCAAAAAAAGAAGATATATATGCAGTTAGAGAGAGAGAGAGAGAGAGAGAGAGAGAGATATATATATATAATTTTATAAATATAGGTTTATAATATTTCAAATGACCAAGATCATATAAGTATATATCCATATAAGTACATATCCTTGGGAGTGGAAAGCTTGATATAGCAATTATATATATATATGCCCATATATATATATATATACATCCTACATATAGAAAAGGCAAAAGTGAATCATTTTCATGACAAGGCTCCAAAGTTCAGAAGACAATATTATACATGATTAACAATCATATAGTTTATAACTCGATCTGTATTAATCTTATGCATTATAATAACAATAATTTATTAAATCTTAATTATGTTAGATTTTGTGGTTCTTGTAACATAATTACTTATCAACAATATTATCATAATTTCAGACAAGTTTTATATCAATCAAAGCTACAATATTCTTTGAAACCATTTCTAATTAAGAAAAGGGAGTTCCAAAATCCAACTTCCATCATCATTCCATATGGAGATGATCATCAACAACAACACATTAAAAAAGCACTTAAAATTAGGAACCAAATTGAAGTTAGGACAAGAGAAAAAGAAAAAGAAATTAAGCAAGAAAAATAATTGTACAAGATGAGGGGTGATTGATATTGATGTAAGGATCGATTCTCTGACCTTGGTCATGACCTGACCTATAGCTAGCAAAACTATCAATAAGGCGGCCGCCCGGCAGAGTTTCCTCCCCAACTATCAACCTGCAGCTGATGAGGCATGTTATTGAGCGGAAGATTGAAGAAGGGAAGTCCCGAAGACGGATCTGGAAAGGGGTTGGTTATTCCTCCACCGCCACCGCCACTGCCTCCGCCGCCCGAAGACTGCGGCACAGGCTGCTGCATCTGCAGCTGCTCCTCTTCCTCCAAGGGCAACCTCTCATAAGCTACGTTGGTAAACGATGAGGCTATGACAATAACAGGCCCAGATGCTATGAGTGCTCCTACAACATTTCCACCCATAACCTGGCCCGAACCACCAGCCAAAAATATGGTCAGGCTAGTGGCCCCGGGTGGCGCAGGGGGCGGCAGAAACGAGCCAGTCAACGACAGAATCTCGAATCTGCCGTGCAGGCGGCTGGCTGACGCAGGCTCACGTTGGTTACCATACCACTCCCACTGAGCACACAAATCCCTCTCTGCCTTTTTCTCGCATATGTTCCAACGGATTCAAACACATCACAGCCACTGCTGACCTCCAAAATATGAGCTCGCAAAGTGTTTGCGCTCTCCCGAGTTATGATCACGGGAGGTTTGGGCTTGTTCCTTGATCCTGGAGGTCGACCTCTGGAGCGTCTACCTCCAGAATCCCCCGAACCAGGGTTTGGGGTCACAAGATCAAGCCCTTGATGATTAGGGTTGTCATCATCGACGTCGTTTTGGTGGTGGTCGGAGGAGAAAAGGTTGTTGCGGTTGGGGGTGTTGTGATCATCTTCAGAATCCGGTGGTCTTTGGAGGTGGAGGTCGGGGATTTGGAGCTGCTGATGAACAAAGCGAGATGCTGAGCCCAAGTCTAAGCCAGCCATACACAGAGAGCTAAAGAGAACAGAAAACAAGAAAAATATAGTAAAATATGTGGATAATTTTAATATAGAGAGGTTCAATATTTTATGGGTTTCTTGAGAAAGGAGAGCCCCATAATTTCAAACCCTAGAACGAATAGAAAACAAAGGGAATCGAGTGCAGGGAAAGGGAAGGGTACGAGTTTAGAAGAGAGAGAGGTGGGAGGAGGAGGAGAGAGATATCATAAAGTGGCAAACGCAGCCATTCTCAACATCTAAAGTATATAAATATAAAAAATAATTATATATGTGCATATGAAATAACAGAGATAAAATATTTCACTTCTTTAGTAACTTTTAATTTTTTTTAATTGTTTCAAATTTTAATATGTGAGTTGAATTTTCTATTTTAACACTGAGTGTGCTTGAAAGGAATACTCTATTGACTATAGCTGAAAGAGTAATAATTATTAGAGTGGATCAATTGTTTTGTTTATAGTTTATTATATATTATACCCATCACCAACAGTTTATATATAGTTGATCAATTGTTATTTAATGTAGGAAATATTGATATGCTGAAAGAGTAACTATTATTAAAGGAACCATATTTTATGACCACATTAATTCATCAACTGTTATTTAAGACTTGATATGCTGAAAGAGTATATTGTTGTGATCATGATCTCATTATGCAGGATTTGATATTTAACTTCTTACATCAGTTACTATTATGAATTGTTAACTCACATCTCATATTATATATATAATTTCTTCATGAGATTTTTTTATAGTAAATGTGATAGTATATAAGTACAACATTTCAAGTGACCAAACACAGAAACAATTTGGTTTGGCCCGGAGAGAATACAATACAAATTCACCACACAAACAAAAGCACATGTACTCATACTTACAATTCAAATTCACCACACAACGGTAAAAATGGCAAATCCGTATCGAAAAGTCGAAAAGTAAAACACAAACTTCAACAAACTCCTAAAGAGATCAAACAAAGAAACAAGAACAAGTGTCACACTACACCAAACAACACAAACTTTAGCAAACTCCTCTCCGACAAACCGAAAAAACTCATAGCGCCATACCAGCTAAACCCATAATGTTGCACCAACTAAACCATATCCAACACAAACCGTCAACTTTCAATTTTGCATATCCAAATCCAGAACTTGAGCAAAACCTTGTATATGTGGACCAAGTGGCAACTACATCATGGTGACTACAGTGATTTGCAGTGAAGGAGGGAGAGAGAGTTAGAGAGGGGAAAACTAGGAAAGAGAAGGGGAAGGGAGTAGGAAGAGAGAGGAGAGGAGAGGAAAAAGGGGGTGAGAAGCCACCGGCCCTCAAAGGGGCCGGCGACTTCTGTATAAAAATTGCTCGATACCAACAACGTTCATAGCGTCAAGATGGAGATCCCTCACCATTGTCTGCCTCCTTGAGAACAAGAAAACAAAAACAACCGTACCCAATACACTAAGAAGAACCCAGAGGGACAATCAAAGAAGAATGAGAGAGATTGCGCAGAGAATGGATCAAGAAAATTAGAGAAACCTAACCCTAGCAGTCAAGGCTCTCCTCGCGTGAACAAGAGAGGTTCATCTATGCTTCTTTTGGAAGGCAACCTAGAGGCTACTATCAAAAGGTCATTGCTTTTTTAATTGGGATAGTTTTTTTGTATGGAAGACCTTAAACTGCGCAACTTTACAGTAAAGCAGGTTTTTGGTAAAAAAACTCAATCCCAAACAAGGCCTTAATCTTTATAAATAAAGAAGATTTCTTTCACTAAACTTTTCTTTTATAATAAACTTTTCACGACTTGTTAATACGAGTTGCCACCCATGGGTACATACCAAGGAAATTATTTAATTAAATCAATAAATTGTTTATTTTAAAAATTTTGGATTATAAATCATGACTTTAAATTCAACATAAATAGGTTATATTTTCTAAATTTCAAGACAATAAGATTTTAAGAAAGAAAACCATATCAATCAAAATATCATATAAGGTATCTAACTCAAGTAATTAAGAGCAAGCATCCATATATACCCCAATGTCATGTGTATGATTCCCCTATATCACTTTTATCGCGAAATAAAGAAAAAAAGCCATGACCACACAACAATCTTTGCCATCACCACCAATCTCACGTGTACTATCGCCACCACAACTACCACCACCATCTCAATATGCCAGCATATACATATATACACGCAACTTTTGAGATCAAAATTCAAGCTAACACATATAAAATATGATAAGAATTAAAAGTCACTTTTGATCCTTATAATTTGTTATGTAGTTTTAATTTTGTCAACCCCTATAATTTAATTTTATCACAATTTAAGGATACATCCAAATTTCCATTCAATTCCGTCCAAAATACTCCTCCATGTAAGAGACACGTGCTTATTCCATCAAGAAATTGGACGGAAAGTTGGATGTGTCGTTAAATTATAATAAAATCGAACTACATGAGTCAAATTGCCATAATTGAAACTAAAAAAACAAAAGTGAAATTTTTTCAAACTATAAGGACGAAAAGTGACTTTTTACTTCATAACAGCCATCATACTAGTACTAGCTCGGAAACTTAGCTCAAACAATTTATTTTATTTGTTTTATTATTGAACTATACCGATCCACAGATTTACTAAGACAATGGACATAGACATGTGTGTACAAGAAAAAGAAACAAAAGATTGTAATAAAGGTATTAGTTGCTTCTGAAATGAGATTAATTAAGCCGACACAAAACAACACAACAAGATTATTATATTCAAAGGGATGAAATAAAAATTCAACAGACACAGAGATCAAGGCCTCTTCCTCTCTCTTGCTTAATTAGAAAATCCAACAAAGCTCACACACAAAAATTCAAAGATAATAAATTACTCATGGCAACTCAGGATTTTATTTTATTTTTCTTACGAAGAGAATCCAAATTAGGATCTATCCTTAATCTGTTTCTAATCCATGTCATTTGAACTAATTAAACTTTTGGGGAGACTAAGAACTTTTGGGGAGAGAAGAAATATATATATGGTGAAATGTCACTTCAGGTGTCTCAAGTCAATGCTTTCCTTTCCTTAAAATTAGGCCCCCTCTTATATAATATTGTCCATGAGCAAGCCTAGCACCTTATCAGAATTAACAATTAGAAACTTCCTTGTTTATATAACAAATCTGAGAGAAAATCCGACACTAATTAATTTTTATAAAAAAACCTCCGGACATATTTTTAAAAAATTATCAAATTTTTTATTTTCAATCTTTATTATATGTTGGATAAAGCAGAAAGTAATATTTGTGTTGGATAAAGTTTTAATGTGTATGTAATTTTCTATGTATTATATGTGAGTGCTAGGCACTTATAAAAAAAAGTGTCTATCACATCGCAACCTGTTTTATATGCCATTCATTCGTGGTGCACTAGCCATGATGGATTCATGGAATCAAAGTATATGTGCCTTGAAGTTTCAACACGACAAAGATATGCCTAATAGTTATTTTAGATCTACTCATTGTTTTCTTGAATGGTTTTTTTTATATATATATAATATAAATCTAAAATTAGACTCCATGAATAGTATCTTTTCCAATTAGGGGAGTCTAATGTTAGATTTATATCTTTTTTCTTAACAAAGCGATATTTCAAACTACTTTAATGTATGAAAAGGGGGATCGATTTTAAGTGAGTATGTACACTACCTTGACCAACTAACCTAACCGGCATTGGCTTATATATTTATTTTCTAAATTTACTTATTATAGAAAAACAATAATTTATGGACTTTCTTTTTGCGTTTTTATTTCTTATATTAGGACTCTAGGTTATTTTCTCTATTTAACAATAGTAATTCAGAGTCTAGAGGAAGACTCTTCGAATATTATCATAGTTTATCGCTCTTTCAATGCTAAAAGTTTTCTTGCGTTTTATCATTTTCTCGTGTTTTCGTGTATAATGCGGTTATTATTGATGTGAGTGATTGCAGATTCGCATCACAAGTTGCGAATTTTCTTGAATACACTTATGTACTAAGTACATAAGCAGTATCCAAATATGAAGTAATTTGACTTGATTAAAAGAGTTAAGCACAAACATGGAATTACACGATTGGAACACCACCTCTAAACACAAGTTTCCATCCTTCAATCATTCATATCCATAGTATCTTCATGGTCATGGTCATAGAGAAACAGTGTAACAAAGGAGAGTGGGAAAGTTTTTTATTTTAACTTTTACAAAAAAAAGAACCACCATTGAAAAAACAAGAGTGAAACATGTATTATAAAATTGGATAATGTGTCGAGTAAATAAGTTTTGAGTCCAAGATTTTGGTAAGTGCTCCCCCACGAATTTCGGTCACCATGTTCGAAAAGCTGTCACAAAAGTAACACCAAAAAAGTACTGCATTTACAGTAGAAAAAGCACACATAAAACATAGATAATTTGATAAATAAATAATAAGCTAGTAAATAATAAAATAAATAAATAAATAAATTCGTGTGTCTGATATGAAACGAAGGGGTTTCCCAAAAGGACGAAAACCTACCTTGGATTTTGCTCATCCAATCCCATCTGTTCTTGGATGCGAGACATGACCAATCCCCAATATCATTCCTGTCCACATCATATTTCTCCATCATCCCTTCCCTCTTCCACTCCTCAATTGACAAGGTCATCTTTATTTATTATTTATTTATTTATTTGTAGATGAGCACGAATACATATATACATACATACATACGCATCTACGTGTAACAACGTCTAGGGACAGTATTGTGGATATTGATAATTTTATTCAAGCTTTCATGCTTCATGTGGAAAGGAAATGTTATTGTCAAAGTAAAATAATTAAATCACTACTCAGCTTCATCAATTTGCCAACCAAAATCGACCCATTAGCTAACTTCGCATAATTTTAAAGACAAAAAATGACCCGTCAACACTCAATAAGATGGCTAAATTAGTTGGGAGGAGCCTCTAAGGCATGAGTCTTGCCTCTAATATAGTAGAATTATTATAGTAGCAAGAAGTGTTTTTACTATTGAATAAGCATTAAATTAACATTCAAGTGTATTAAAGTATATCCAATTTTCTAAAAACATAGCAACTAGACCCAATTGAGGTAAAGGATAAAGATTCCAAGTTCGATTTTCGTGTTAACAAATAATTCATTTGAAAAAAGTTCGGATTCTCTGCTTATAACTTGTACTT